AATTTTGAGTCTCATTTGACAAAAAATGTGAATCCCTTGTTAATATTCTAACATATTTTGTAATTTATTTAATTTTACTTTTTTTTAATCTTAAAATATTTGATATTATATATAAAAAAAATGGATTTATTATGTCTTAAGTTGAAAGTGACATTTGTATATTTTAGAGAGTCTCACCATTAGAAAATTAGACTTCACATGAGTTGCTAAATTGAAAAATGGGTATGGTATCACCATTGAAGGTAAAAAAAAACAACTCATTTTGTATTTCAATACTCAAAATTAGTCTCACTATAAAAGATGGTCTAATAAAAGGACAGTGAGAGTAGTATTTTTTTTTTTTTTTAGAAAACTTCATCAAAAAAAAAATGTAAAAAGATTTGTCAAACTCATTTTTTTTAGTATATAGTTATTGATGATTGATGGAACCACATTTAAACTCTTGATTTGTTGTTCAAACTTACATAGTTTAATAGAATGTGTTTCCTAACATCAATTTTCTTGCATAGTTTCCTAACTAACCAAATTTTACGTTGCTTTCACCTAGAGATCATAGTGTACAACTAAACACTCCTGGCGCCTTGATTGTTTAAGCAAGCATCCCATTCCTTCTTATACTATGAAAATTTGACTAGCAACTTCCGAATCACTTCCCAGCTAACATATACAGGAGACATGCAAACTATCTACATTGCATACACAAAATATTGTAGATTTTGTAACAAGCATGAAAGGCCTATTACTTAATGATCACACAATCACGGTTGCTCATTATAAAGCCATAAAGCATGCTCTTTGCTGCCAGGGTTTGATTAGGGGTCCCACATATGATAACCTTACCATCGGTTCCAGGAGAAGGATCATGAACAATGACAGTTGCACCTGAAATCTGGTCCAAAAAACGATTAGGTCAATATGATAGTTTCTGATCAATGCAAGTAAGCATCAGCTTAGCACTAATGTAGAACTACACTACTGCGCCAACAAAAGCAAAAACATATAATAGAAGTAATTATGAACATTTTCGTGGGACGACAAATGGAAAAGCACAGAATAGTAGATCCCAGACCTTAAGTGATTCTTGGGAAACAGATGTCAGAAAGGATCAGACAGCACGAGTCATCAAAAGGATTTTAAAAACAAGATTTTTAAGAAGTTACATATTCCAAAAGCACTTAAAAGTGTAGATACGAAGAGGTAGTGACCAGAAATCTTTGCGATAGTTACTGAAGGTCCTTTCACAGTTAAAGTTTAGACTCCAAGCACCTATCTTTTGACATAAATTTGACATAAAGCAAAATGCATAATGCAGAAATACAGCATCCTAGGCTCCTAGCTAATTACCTCAAGATACTATTTTGTTTAAATCACCCTTCCCAAATTCCACTGCACCACACACCCCCAGTGAAAGTAAGTCTAGATATAGGCTGATTACCTGTCTCAGACGAAACAAATTAGCACCACCTTCACCATACACAAGACCAAATACATGAGCAGGAACCACAATTTCGACTTCCGTATTTCTGATGACAGAACACTCGTCCCCACTGCACAAGCAGGTAGCTCAAAAGCATTAAAAAAGGAAATTGAGAAACAAAATTTTTGCTCAATATACTTGCAATTTCCATACCCTTGCCACTTATTTAAACGCACAGAAAAAATCAAGATAACACAATACAGAGTAGTTTGTAAATATCCAATATGGCAGTTTCATTATGAATATCACATCATTAACAGATAAACCAACACAATCACAATTTCTTCATTCAGAAAATACTAGCATTTTGTTTAATCACATCACCCAAAAGCCCACTTCAGACAGTTGCTACCATCAAATCATCCAGTAACAGCAATTAGTACAACTCATATATATACAGTCAATTAAGTAAACTAAGGCATCAATCAAGAATACACGGATCTAATTGACTCACACAAGCAAGAGTGTGTTAGGATAAAAAAAAAATAGTGATGATGACAGATGTGACTGTTGTTTCAAGCACTGGCAAAGAAAAGGAGATAAAAACCCTTCAAATATTTTTTTTGTTCAATTCAGCTTATTTAACTAGTTAAAAGCTAATTCCAGCAAAAACATATAAGATTCATATGTATCCGCTTATCAGGTTATACAACAGATGAAAAGATCAAATCACATCAGATGCAAAAAAATACTTCCTCTGCCACTGCCTCCCTTTCACCTATATGCCACCACCAATCATAACCTTCATCCTCCATCGCCTGTAGTTTCCACCTCCATCATTGCAAGTTTGGCCTCCTTTTGCCAAAAATGGTACAAACTTGATTTATACAAATAGTACTATTTCATGAATATTTCATGCAGTACAAGTGTTTAGGAGGAGAGTAGTTAGCTGATAAATTTATATTACACTTACAGATCTCATATTTTTCATTGAGGTGGTGTTTTGATTACTGGCTGGAATGGATGAAAGAGGTGATGGTGACCATGCTTTTAATTAATGAGAAATGCAATGGAAAGCCGGGTTGGATTGACTATTTTAGGTGGTGCAGGGGTTACACAGTGGTGGTGGTAGGGAAGAAGATGGCAATCAATAAGGATATGGGTGGAGGAAGGGTGAGGTGGTGGTGCTAGTTGTGACATTTGCAATGGTGGTGGGACTGCAGGGAGACGGATGTAGTACTGTCACCAGTGGCTGGGCAAGGGTGCAACAGTGTACAAGCTAAGTCTTAAGGAATGAGGGGAACAAGAGAAACAAAATAAGTGGTAAAACAAAGTTGGGGGGGGGGGAAGAGAGGGAAAAACTAAAGAAGGATCTCCATATGGATTTTATTGATTTAGAGAAGGCATATGACAAGGTGCCAAGAGAGGTTCTTTGGTGGGCAATGTTGAAGAAAGGTATTCCACGAAGGTACGTGGACCTGGTTAAGAATATGTATTGGGATGTGTCAACAAATGTAAGGACATATGGAGGGTTGACAAAGTTTTCCCTATTACAATTGGATTGCATCAAGGGTCTGCATTAAGGCCGTTTCATTTTGCAACGATTCTAGATGAAGAAACAAGGCCAATTCAAGATGAGGTTCCATGGTTTTTGCGCATGATATTGTTTTGGTGGATGAAACTAAAAATAGGGTTGATGCCAAAATGGAGGCAAAGGTTGGAATCTAGAGGGTTTAAGCTAAGTCGGAGCAAAACTGAATATTTGATATGCCGCTTTGGTATACATAAGAGAACAAGTGATGATGTAGTGAACTTGGATAAAAAGGATTTGATCATGAGTGAATGATTTAAATATCTTGGGTAGATCATCCAAAAAAATGGTGACCTTGATCAAGACGTGGCCCACATGATTAAGTCAAGGTGGCTTAAATGGAGAGCGGCCACAGTAGTGTTATGTGACCAAAGCATTCCTTTACTGTTAAAGGGAAATTCCGTAGTACTACCAAAAGATCAGTGTTGCTCTATGGTACAAAATGTTGGGCTTCTAAGAAGAAGCACATTAAAAGGATGGATGTTACAAAATGCGAATGTTAAGATGGATGTATAGGAACACACTAAGAGATAAAATCAAAAATGAGGTTATTTGCAAGAAAATGGGTGTCGCAGGCATTGCAGACAAACTAATGGAAAATCATTTGCATTGGTTCAAGCACGTAAGACGGAGACTCGAGGGTGCACCGGTACAAAGGGTGGAAGAGTGGGACGACGGAGAGGTTAAACGAGGGAGAAGGAGAACGAAAATGACTTGGTTGGGAGGAGTTAGGAAGGATATGAAGCATATGGATTTGCATGAAAATGAGGTATTCGATCGTAAGGGATGCAGGAAGAAGATTTTGTGGATGACTATACGGAATAATCACTTTTGGTTCATATAGCCGACCCCAATTATAGGATTAAGGCTTTAATTGATTGAAACTATACCAAAACACTTAGAAAGAAAAAGGAAGATAATAATTTCCTTAACATTCCAAAGTCTTTCAACTGCCCTTAAGACTAGTGATTTACACGATTTACAAGAAAGAGCTATATTGATGAGATCCATATACTACTGACCTGCCAAATTCTGAGCTGCAAGATGGCATAAAATCACCTTGAATTTTCTTTAATGTAGTTTGAGAATGTCCAGATGAGCACTGCAATCAACAACCACCTAAATGCTTAAGTTTAACTGCAACTTAATGAATAATGACAGATGACAAATATAATAGTAATGAGATTTAAGTTCTGGTGACAGAACCATGGATGATGAAGAAATGTCTGTATCATAAGAAATTGCAAGGCTATCCATTTCACTTGACAAGGTAGTTGTTGCCTGGACATGAGGAGACCGACCATAAAGTGTGTGTGGTAGAAGAGGTCTGACGGAAAATATGCTTTCCCTCAGCGTCCATGTGACTTGAAGCAGACAAGTATGCACATCAGAATATTCACCAACTATCTACAAAAAGGTATTGTGTTCAATCTTAGGGAATTATATATGTCGACAAGGTACATGCAGTGCATATATCATAATCTATATGCTTTAAAAGTGTAATATCATGCTTATTGAATTTAACAGAAGAAACTGATGCTAGGAATCTCACCTTCTTAATACTTAACTCGTGAATTGAAAGAAAGAAAAAAAATGATAAAGTATGTGCATTGATAAGAAGCACGAAAAACAAAAGAAATGACTAATAAATTTTGCCTTGGTATGCAGAGTATTGCCCTTTTTTGCTACTTTGCTATAGAAGTGCGCCCAGGATCGGGACGGATAATTAACACAATTTATGGTTCAAATAAAAATTGTCAGTAGCTTAGGGATAGCTATTCATGTCGTATATGGGGGACACAGTGAGCATGTTACATATTATCGAAAAATTATTGGTAACAGAAGAGAGCTTTCAGCAGCATTCACAAAGATCATGTATATAATGGCAAAAGAGAACTTGAGCATGTGTGAAACAGATGATGTTGATCACCCAAGATGAACAATCAGAATGAAAATGACACAGCATAGGCATCATCCTTCACAGACAGATAATCATACCTGTATAATTTTCTTACCCGCTAAAGTAGCAGAAGTACACTGACTGTCTAATATTTGCACTTCAGCACCAGCAGTATCTTTCATATCCAACATGTTGACTTGGCTACATGAAATCAGGAGTTTTGCAGTCACAGAATCTCCTCTATTCGGACCTGCATGCCCAGATCCTGAGGCAGCTTCCACTAATCTTGTGAAAACACGGAGAGTAGCTTCTTGGGCTGGGGAATACTGACATTCCTTTTTCTAGAAATACAAACCGCCATGCATAAGACAAGAAACTTATCAGAGATCAAGCTCACACAAGTCTCTTACCCAAAAACACAAGGCTGAATATGCATAGCTTGTAAACTTACTTAGGCCTAAAATAAAAATTAATAGCAATACAACAACAGCAGAAGCAAAGATAAGAGGATTTGAAAAGAAAAAAAAAATTCCCATTTTTGGCAATTTACACTCCGTGGATGGATTTACCTCAATATCATCGCACCTTTTACTTGTAAATTTTACATTTCTACAAGACTTGATGAAAGAAGGAACTCTAAAAGACATTAATCATTATACTTGTATATTTTGAAATGCAAGTAGGGGATTTATCTAAGCGTAATCCAAGTACAACTTATCATTTCGGCATATTGAAACAAGTTGCTGAAATGATAATAATAGAATATCAAATTCTAAAGTGTTAAAAATCTAGGATAGTAGTATATATAATAAAACCATGCAAAACTTAAAAGAGACAAGAAGGAACCAGAGTATATATCAAAAATGTTATTAACGAACCTCCATAGCAGACACCATAATCACACACTCATCACTACCCACTACTGGGTCTATCACTTCTATACGAGTTCCTGTTTCCCTTTTTAGGGCTTTCATTATGCTCCCTCCCCAGTCAATCAAACCATCAGCCGCATAAGTGGGGCAAAGCAGCCTGAAAGCCACTTCTTTGGTCCCCGCAGCCACACAACTTTGGCCACTGTCTCCAGCATCTGTATCAATGCTTAGATGTTTTTGTGCATGCAGATCATGTGATACCCCATCGGAAACTGGACCACAAAATTGACTTATAGCTCTTGAACTGTTTCCTTGAAGACAGTATGTAACAGCAAGCAGTGCCTTTCTAGTAGCCAAGGAATCACCTGTAATCTGTAACACAGAAGTGCATCTGAAGAATCAGTCAAAAAAAAGAACTTATGACCAGATCTTATTAGCACAACAAAAAACAGGCTCAGTCACATAGACACAAGTTCACCACATTTTACAAAAATAAAAATAAGAAGAAAAAAAATTAACAAGTGATGTTTCTCAAGCAAATCAAGGTTTGAGGTAAAATTTGAAGCATTTAAAAAATCGGTAATTCTCTTCTGAACTATAATGGAAGTATGGTCAAAGCTATTTAGCCATGAAGGTCCAAAGTTGACATGTTGATACTTGATACCATTAAAGGTTAATATGGGCCAGCATTTTCTGTCCCTAACTGAAGTCTGAATGCAATTTTAGTGACTTTTGTGAGCTGAAAACAATTGTTTTCTCCTCTCAAACAGCAACAACAGAATATATACCACTCTATTTTAAAATTCCCAAAATGGTTTGCTATGTGTTTGACAAAAAAGCAATGTTGCCAATATAGAGTTTACACATATCATCAACTACAACCGATATTATACATGAATTTGTTCAAACAAATAACCCAAAACCAAATCAACATGATGCACAGCAACTAGAATAAACTAATCATTTTACAAATTGTTCAAATTATAATCACCTTTCTTTGAAAAAATCTAACATTAGTGTCTTTGTATCATCTCATTGCAAAAATAATTTACTCTGTCTGTTCCATAATAATTGACACGCATAGACTTTTTCATAACTTTGTTTGTCAATTATATAACGTAAAATGTATCTTTATACTACGAGTAGTATTTATCTTATTGTATACTTTTGGATTATCAAGTTGGGAAGACAATTGGGACCAACATCCAAGTCCCTACTTCCCAATTCTAAAAATGAACACGGATAAACAGATTAATTATACCTTGAAAACATAAATCACTGTACACTAACACTATCAGTCTTAAATTCTTAAACCTAACCATGGGGTCGGCAACATCAACCAAAATTTAACGAACAAAATTAACTAAAATTTAGGCGTGGATCACAAGAATACTAATCATGGATTATAAAAAGATTCCTAATTACACTAATTCTACATCAAATTAAACAAAACAAAAAGTAGAAAAACATAAACCTGAATCAAATCATCAGAAATATCAGCACAAAGAGGATGCTCATCCAAAGGCAAAACCCTAATAGTTGCACCCACAATTCCAACCAACGACTTAATCTTCTCTTCTCCCTTCACCGTCAACAACCGGAAACTCCGGTAACCCTCCGCCGTATTCTCTTCCAGAATATCCCAAACCCTAAACACCGCCAACTGCGCCGACGAAACCTCAAACTTTCTCTCTCCTTCACCGCCATTACCATCCCTCAAAACGAGAGTCTTATCCAAGTTTCCAGGTCCGACGATGTTGACGATACGCTCGTCGCACCCAGAAAGTGGGTCTTCCACGCGAAGTAAGGAGAGACCGGTTTCACGTGAAATCTTCTGGGACATGGCACCGCCGTGTCCTATGACAGCGCTGCCGGCTTGTACGGGGGAGAGAAGGCGGAATGCCACGTGTCCTTGAGGGGGTTTGAGGTGGGGTTTACGGGTGGTGTTCCCGGGTTTTCCGGTGGGTTTTTTCTGGGTTTTTTTCATTGTTTTGAAATCCAGAATTGTGGAGTAGAGATGGAAATGAAAGGAAGCGTATGTCAGGGAGACTGAAAAGATAGGTGATCAGCAGAAATTAAGGACGTGATATAAAATGCGCGGGAAGTGTGATATAGGGATTTTTTTTTTTTTTTTTTAAAGGTTCAAAATATTTGTCTTCCAAAGTTTGGAAATTATTTTTTCATATTAGGATAACTTAATTTTTATTTATTTATTTTTTTTCTTGTACTCGTACTAAAGTTTAACTGTATATCAGTCGAAAAATAAATGTAGTAGTGACATGTATATATATATATCTATACTAATATTTATACTAATCATATAAATAATAATATATAAAGCTAAACTTTTAGTTGGGTCACGAGGCAACGACACTTGGCGTTCCAACTTTTTACGCCAAGTGTCGTGCCACGTTGGATATATTTAGATAGATTTCCGAGGATAAAAAAAATTAGTTTAAAATTCTGTTTTCAATCAAATTTGGATAGAATTTTAGGTTAAAATTGTTACTTGAGAGTTTTATTTTCGATAAAATACCAATATTAGTTTTATTTTTGATAAAATACCAATATTTCATATGTATAAATTTAATTATAATTTTATTCAAAAAAATATTAGATTATAACTTTTAAAAAAATATCAATATTATTATTAGTCATTTACATGCCTACTACTACATAGTTTAAATCGTCCCAAAAACACATCAATTTCTAACTGATTTCGTATTAGAAATTTAGAGATCACATATATTTTGAAATTTGATATATAGATTAAAATTTATCTAAAAATTTAATAAACAAACCGGATATCGCACGGGGCACAAAACTAGTATTTAATAACAGGAAACTTTACAAGAAATTTAGATAGCCACATGTCTTTTTGAGTTTTCTTTATTTTTTTCAAAATAAATCTCTTGCTTTATTACTTGATGTTTATCTTTTAAGCCTTTTAGTTATTTTGTTCTTTTTGGTTGGTAAGTGAAAACGTTTTATATTTGAATGATTTGGTATACTCAAGATTTAGATGTATGTAACATGGATGCGGGTAACTAGAATTTTTTCATTATTAAAGTGGTTAAATGTAAGGTAAGATCACTTTTTAGAGTTCTAGAGTTTGGCTTATGGAATATGGATGTATGTAATAATAAGATCATTTTGCCTTTTTATTTTACCCTCAGATCTCTAATTTTCCTTTGAATTTGTATCCTATATTCACCCATTCATTGATTTACAAATGTTTTCTATTTCTATCGAAATTTATGCCAACAATGAAGCTTATAATTTACGACGAAAAGATTAGTCAATAAGGTTACAAACTAGTTTCACCAGGTAGCATTAGCTAAAGCCTACATTGAACACTGGTTAGTGGTAGGAGTAACATTTCTAAAGCAAGCATTACGGCCATTAACTAAAGAGGCCACCCCCTTTCTAATTGTAAACTTGCAACAATATACATGAAGTACTCTGCTACTCTCTGTATTGGCTCCCTCGAGTGGAAAATATCCTGGCTTTCTACATTGACACACTTAGCAAAAGAATATTCACTCCTATCTTATTTACAGAGATCAGCGGGTATCTGCACAAGCGTGATAGCAACAGCCTTTGACAGTCATCGATCAACCATAATAAACGCCTGAAGGAGGCTCTGAGCTGCTAAAGTCTGATCAGGTGTCCCGGATATTAAAACCTTACGATCACTCGCCGGGCAATGATCCTGCACTTCAACTTTTGCTCCTGAAATCTGAGCCAACGACATGCAAGATATCAATACTCAATATTGTCCAGCAGTAATAATGAAGGGAACCTATTTTTCTAATTAAATAACCCATGGCCAACAGGAAACCAAGTCACCAAACTAAGTTCACCTTCATTTGTCATATCCTATGGGCAATTAAAAGGGTAAATCACAACCAACACGAACCGACAAGCAGAGCTGTAAATCACCCAAATTCCGGGAGGATTCCACTTCCACACAGGTGGATCAGGGCCCGACATAAGCAGCCTATACATATCTCATCAGAAAATTACTCTCTATCAACTAACATGCACAAATGACGCATGGGTAGTAAAATATATGGAGACTAGAAGTTTGAGCATCAATTCAAATGAGATTTTTTTGTCAAAGATAGGTGGCTTAAATTCTTGGAAGGCAATCCCATGTGAAATAAGCACCAAACAATCAAGCAGTGAGCTAAGGATTCCATAGTTCTCAAAATTCAAATGAGATTTATTGCCAAAAATAGGTTGCTTAAATTCTTGGAAGGCATTTCCATGTGAAAAGAAGCACCAAACAGGCAACCATGGAGCTAAGGATCCCATTCCATTAGACAACCATTGTCTTCTTACCATTTACTGCCCATTCCTATTTAGAAAAAGAATTAAGAATAGGACAATTATTACCGTTCGTATACGAGATAAATTACTGCCATCATCTCCAAAAGCAGAACTAAACACATCTGCTCGAACAGATATCTCCATCTTCGAATTTGTCACAATAACAGATCTGTTGATGCTGCACAATTAGCCAAATACATAAACAAACAGAGAAAGGCTCCCTTTATGATCACATCAACAACATATATTGATACACATTGTCCAGAAACAATCTTTTTCATGCCATGAATCTGCTAGAAATGTCAACTATAATTGACAATTGTTCAGAACAATGTTATCATCTAATGAAGTTTTTTTATGCAGTACTCCTCACAAAAAAAGTCTCCATAAGATCGGAATGGCACAAATTAGCACAATAAGCAGCTAATATCATCATGAGCATTATCAAAGCAAAAGGCTATACTGAGTTTTTTAAGCATGTTACAAAATAAATTGAAAAATTGAAAACAATTATTGATGTCCCTGACAACTAGATCATCAGAGAGGATATCACAGTCAATTGCCAAAAATATAAAAGCAATTAATCTAGCATGTAACAATATATATGACTAACCTGCCATATTCAGAATCAACAGTAACTGTCGTTAAATCTCTTGAATGTTCTATACTAGCAGAGCGGCTGTGTCCACTGGACAGCTGTAAGCATGCTCCACTTAAGACCCAGAATACAAAGACAATGGAAAACATAAAGGATAATGAACAAAATATAGTCAATTATAACCTCAGATTGTAGAACCTTAGATGGCACGGAACCATTAGATTCTTCAGTGACTATACAGTCCTCCATATTCTTTGTTATAGCAGACATTTCGTTGAGACACTGAGGCAGATTGAATAACTTATGTGGAAGAAGAGGTGAGTTGTTCTTAACAGATATTGCATCAAAAACACACTCTCTCAGCATCCAACTGACTTGGAATAGAGCAATTTGCACACTAGCATACTCACCATCTATCTGCAAGCAGTGACCATAACCACATCACCTCGAGATTAGCTAGTCAAGCAAACAAAAAGATACCCTAAAAAACCTAACAGAAGACAGCAGAAAGCACGTAAGCAAGCAGGAATAAGTAGCTCAACTTAAAACAGCACAATCGATAGCATAGGTAAACAGTTTTAGAAAACATTGCTAGCTGACCATAAGATAAAAAGTTTGGGGTATAAATGGTTAAACAATCGCATCTTCACATGAAAGACTAGCCACAAGGGCCTTACAGAACAAGAGAGTAGCTCTTTAGACTTAGAAGGACATACTACTAACAAGGCACCAACTAGTAGACAAAGAAATACCTAGCATTCCCTTGGAATATGACTGAGTTGTATTCACAGTCTCACTTCCCAAAAAAATGTGAGGTTTCCATGGGATCTATAAAAGGCTTGGTGTTGTTTTTTTATTTTTTTATTTTTATTTATTTTTTTATTTTTATGTACTCCATATAAATATTTCAGGTATGCAAATCCATACCCATCACATTGGAGTTGATTAGGAATGGGGCATGTAAAGTTTACAGGCAAACAAACTAGTAGAACATGACAGACATAATAGTATTCTTACATCTTAGCAGTTAGCAATGAAATCATAATGACCAAAACAAATTATATTAGCTGAACCATGCAATAGACATCTGAATTTTTTTTTATAAAAAATAATTATAGTCCAGAGAAGTGTAATCACCCTTCTAAGATCACCTGTATAATTTTATCGTCGGCAGAAGCACCAGCATGTGTGTAATTCTGTTCCAAAATTTGCAATGTAGCACCAGTTGCTTTCGGTATACAAGAAGTGATTGAATCCCTTAAAACATTTAGGTGACCAGATTGGCTGGGCTGGATCAGAAGTCTGGCAGATACATTCTCCCCTGATGACATTAATCCATTAAATACACGAACAAGAGCATTTTGTGCAGAGGAATGTTTTGATTTCCTGTTCTATAAGTGAGGAAACGAAGAAAGTATCAGTGAGAAATACAGATGAAACATCAGTTCTCAGTCACCTTCTCCTCTAATTCTAAACCATTAAAATTCAGAAAATAAATCCTTCAAATTAACACTTTGGACATCCTCCAAGGCTCCAACATATAGCCTATATAGGAAGAGATACATGTCAACCAATAACCTGATAGCCAACACTATCCCGTATACCCGCCATCTTTTCTCTTGGCGAAGGAAAAATGAACTTATTTGCATTGATTACTGCAGAAATACTATATTGGTGCATACATGCATGTGCTAGTGTTCAGAATTGCGGGAGTAAATGTGCGAGCTTGAATCAGATAGATTAAAAAATTAGCTTGTATTTGCAGGTGATTATGTATTAAATGAGACTTGCGAGAGAGAGTGTACATGGATGAGAATATAGGATTCATTTCATGATTTATGCTGCACAAACATATGTAGTGTGGTCAGTTGGTTACCAACTCAACATACAATGAATTGATCAAATTAAAGTTCTTAGGCATTAATTATCTCAATGTCACTCAATCAAGATCAAATAATTAGCAAGATCAAACTAGGAATGACTTCATGTTATATAGACAACAAATCAAAGGCCACGAAATACTTAACAAGTCAAGAGGGTTTAAAACATGATTTAAAATTTAGAAATCTCAATTCACGGTATGTAAATTCCTCCAAAAAGGAAGAAAGTAAAAAATCACACCTCATAAGCAGAAATAGTGATGACACGCTCAACTCTGTTATCATCAGGAGCAGAAAGCAGTATAGAAGCCCCAGTTTCCTCCTCGAGAGCTTTCACTCTTCTACCTTTGAAGCCTATCACAGCACCAGCCGCCCCCCATGTACAAAGTAATTTGAAAACCACTTCTGCTACATCTCTTTCATTCACTGCAGGTGCTCCATTAGCTTTTGTGATTTGCAAAGTCCTCTGTTGAATATATCTCGAAACAGCTAACAGAGCTTTTTTTACAGCTAGGCTACCACCACTAATCTACAATGAAGAAAAATCACAGGTGATACAATCTGGTTATAAATATTCATCTCCTCTATAACTGTCACATTTCCCAACTCAACTAGCTAAGGGTTCATCATATTTCATATAAAATTAAGTGCCCTTTACAAAAATTTAAGTCGGAGACTCATAATCTATAACTTGTCAAAAATCGACCCGACCCAATCCAAACCAAATTGGGTTTTGGATAATATTATGTGACCCGCAACATGATCTTATTTGAAACCAAATAACCTGTTGGTAGGCTCAAGAATCAACATATTTATTGTTTAAGAAAAGCAAAGAAGATTGTTAGGGTGTTTCGACACAAAATACCTTTAGTTATTAGACAGTTACTATTGTAAAGTTTAACATGGTATTGGTCAGATTTCCACTGTTGTTGGATTTGACTATAAATTAGTACTCCAAATGGTTAATAATTTGTTACAAGTATTTGACAAAGAGAAATTCCAAGTTTACCTCATGAAAGCTACAAATCAAGTGGCATATTTGGTTAGAATTCTTGTTGACTATATTCATCATTATTGATTGTATACTTACACTAGAATTTGCAACAAAATGTAATGCTCATTAGTCATTACACATCAAGAATGTGGCCCCAAATTTCCTACTACATATGTTTATATTGTACATATTATGAAAATGGCATGCATTCCAACCTAATGTTCACAAATATGCCCACTTATGGCCTGTTCTGTCCACTTCAATTTAACTCCAATTAGTTCAGTTCCTAATTTCCTTCTCTCATAAACAATTCATTTCAGCTCTATTCAATTTAGCCCCAATAAATCGGAATATGCCCTTAATTAGCTCTTTTTGTTAACCCAAATAGGTTCTAGTCATGCATACACACAACACACTCAAATAAACAAACATGTATATTCATAGTTATATGCAAAAGACATTCTAAAATCCCCCTAATTAGTAGAGTCGAACCCGAACTCAAAATCATTCTGCCATGAACCAGCATTGTTCAACCCAAACACGAAAAGTATCATCAAGAAAATGACCCGAACTCAAACATCTCCCTCCAAACACAAATTTACAAAAACTGCAGAATCATGATCAATCCCAAACAGTTTATTAATCAAAAAACGTCAAAATTGCTATAAATTATAACAATTCAAAAAGAAAACTCTAAATTACCTCAATCAATTCATCGTTAAAACTAGCACAAGGTAGAATCAACTCATTAGGCGGGAAAATGGAGATTTTCACACCATTCTCCTTGGCCGTCTTCTCAATTCTTTTCCCTCCAGCACCCATTACAGCTCCAACCAACCCAGGTCCCACCAGTAACTGACACGTCACCTTCCCACCATCAACCTCCGGTAAACCCACCTCCAGCATCCGGTCAAAAACCCTAATCAAACCCTCTTGCGCCGCCGAAACCGGCACCTCCAAGTTAGCAACCCGCACCTTCCGGTTAACGGTACTTCCCCCAATAACATGAACAAGGCGTTCTTTACAGGACGATGAAACGACGTCGTCAACACGAATTTTGGCGGAGGTTTCTCGTTCGAGGTTCTTGATGATACCACCGGCGTGACCGATGACGCCGCCGGCGACACGTGTAGGGCATAGTAGCCGGAATTCGATGTTTTCCGGCGAAATTGTGGGTTTGTAGAAGTGATTAGGTTTAGAATTTTGGTGTTGGACATTACAGAAATTTGTCAAAATAATTCTAAGGGATTTTTTTATTATAAAATAATGTTAAGAACTACGGAGTATGAAGGTGGAGGGAGTGCGAACTGAGGAGAGAGAGAGAGAGTGCGCGTTTTAATGCCTCTTTGTTTAAATACGAGGACACGATAGATGACAATTATACCCCTCGAGTATTGTGATACCAAAATTTAATTTGGGGACATTGTGGAATTCAAGGAAAGTGAGTGGAAGGGTCCGATGATACTTTGCCTCCTTTTTGCGGATGATAGTCTTTTTTCGAAACGAGTAAAAGTTTCAATATTTGATTCCTTGGTAATGTCATTCTCGAATTTTCTTCTCTATTTAGATCATTTGTTACTTTAAATGCGGATGATAGTCTTTTTTCGAAATAGCTACGAGTAAAAGTATCTATATTTGATTCCTTGGTAATGTCAATTTCGAATAATAACGATTCTAGGGAAGTAAATCGTGTTAGTTACGTTTTATACGTCCAAAGCCATTTTAAATTCCTTATTTGAAAATTTCTATTAAGTTCTCGTTATAGAAAAATGGAATTCCTATCGCTTGACTAGTTGACTATATAGCTTGTTTAATAAAGGGTAGGGATTGAAAATAACTTTGTTATTTTAGATAGGAGGGGATAATAAAGGAGATATGGATTTTTTTTTTAAATAAAAAATATATATATATAAAAATAAAAAAATAATAAAAAAAAAAACACGCACACACATTATCCCTCCAAAATTATAATAAGGAATTCACGCAGTGGTACAGCTGGTATAAGTGTAAAAGTGTTGAAGTAAAATATGTGTGAATTATTTTTCACATATTATTTAGTGAATATATCTTGTATAAATACTTTTTAATGAATAATAATCAAGCCAAATTATTAACTTTATTCTATTCTAAATTTGTCTAAAACACATTTTACATCCTTAATGGAAAAGGAGGAGGAGAGAGGATAAAGATAAGAATAATGGCCTGTTCTCATTGACTGAACTCGGCTGAATTGAACTGAATTGAACTGAGCTGAACTGAAATGAATATTTTACAAGAGAAGGAAATTAGGAGCTGAGCTGAACTAAACTGAATCAAATTCCAATCAAATAAAACAATAGGAAACTCCATTCTTGATCTTATCTCACATTCTCACCTACTATTTCTCTATCATTATCTCATTTTTTATTTTTTTTATGTTCCTTAATGAAATTCCTCATGCCAAATGTTTCATTAAGAAAAATCATATCAAAATGATAAAAGACTAGTCCTTAAATTTAGTCTCAAAAGTTCCTAAATTGAATTTAGCCTGTTAAAAGTTTGACTTGTTTGGTGTTTCTAAGATAATATTTGTCATCAATATTATATATTTATAATCAAATTTAATATATATAAATAAAGTATGCATTTTTTTAGAGCATTCGGTGCACCACATAACAAAAAAGATTTGTAATTTATTTTTAAATTAAAAAATTATATCGTCACCTAGATAAAAGTAACGAATTATATTTGATATATCTAAAGTTAAATGCCACGTAGATTATAATCCACTAAATAAATTATTTTAATGGAAACAAATAAAGTAAAAAAATTGGAAAAAGATACATTTATTAAATCAATACTACAAGTATAAGAAATAAAAAAAAATATAAGAAAAGATAAATATCCAAAAAAAATACTTTTTTTATTTTATCAATTTCACAACAATTTTTCATTTATTCGTAAATATATTGATTTATTTTATAAATGTACATATTTAATTTATATCAATTTTATTTTTTCTAATATTTCAAAAACAACCAATAATGATTTAGGATTTAATATATTAAAAATTAAAAATTTACCTATTCACATCAAAGATTTTAGGTAACGGATGAAATATCATATTTACAATTTATTTAAATTTAACAAATTCAATTACAATGAATAAAAAAAATAAAATTAAACTTTAGTAATTTTGTCTGAAATTATTAAATACAATAAATTAAATAATTAAAGTTGCATCGCGCGGGCTTTCTAGTATATATATTTAGAATATATATACGTAATTTGTTAACAGTGCGTTTCTGGTGCGGCCAGCTGCACGGTGCGGTAGGGTGCCCCATTAGTAGCCCCTAAAGTAATCCCTAAAGTAACCCCTCTAATAACCCCTCAAGTAACCCCATTTAAGTAACCCTTTTGGTAACCCCTCAAGTAACCCCACTTCCACTTTAGTAACCCTTCTAGTAACCCTCCAAGTAACCTCTTAAATAACCCCACTTAAGTATTCCCAAGTAACCTCTCAAGTAACCCATGTAACTCATTTGGAAACCACTTAAGTAACGCCGACCTGGTAACCCCTTAAGTAAATATCCAATTCATCCAAAACAAACCAAAATAACGAAACTTTCAAAGTATCAATTTAAATCAAATTTGCATAAAACAATGCAAATTTATAATGAAAAGGGAGGATCGAGCCCTCTAGGACTCAAATTCAAACATCTAGTACGAAAAGCAGCTAAAAAATGAAAATTCTGGAAAAATGAGCATCAAAATTTTTCAACAAATTAAAACGAGCACAGTATATATAAGATCAATAAATAAATTACCGAATCAAAATCAATTAACAAAATTCAGTAGAATGAATCAATTTACAATAGATAAGAGCAATTAACTGAGATTTTGCATCGACTCCACCAGCAATCAATTAACAGGACGACAACGGAGGTGGAGGTCTTTGGCTGATTTCGCCGGCAAATATGAAGACGACGACGACGATCTGGATTCGACGACGACGACGATCTGGCTTGGAGCTTCGAAGAGATCTGGACGGAGATGACGAACACGACGGCGACGGAAGACCTAGCTCGGCCATTGATGGTTAGAGAGAGAGAGAGGAGGGAGAAAATATAAAAAAAAAAATTAAAAAAATGTGGCTGGCCGCACGTATGCGGCCAGCCACATATAAAACTTTATGATCTGTTAATTGACGAATAAGTTTTACGCAATTTATTCTAAAAGATTTTTATTTATTCTATTTTTTAAAAAAAAATAATGATTAAAACTTTTAGAAATATTAATTTCATTTGTTTTTGTTGTGGTTAATGAAGTATATTTATATCAATTTCCGTTTCTTTTCAGGTCCACATTTGTTTCGTGTACACATTTATCTGATAACTCCCCTCCCTCTTTTCTAACCAAGTCTTTTGCCCAATTGTCATCAGATGTGAGTATGGATGAAGCCACAACATCATCTTCCATAAACTGGTCATGAAAGTCAGACAACCCATCGTTCGACTCTTGATCCATTTTTGGCAGGTTTTGGGACAAAAATGAAGAACAAATCTAGGATTACCGTTTTATTTTATTTATTTATTTAGGATTTTTTGGGTTTGTAGTTAATCTAAAACTAGGCTAACTCATTGTGCTGTGTTCATGGAAGTGTAAATTTTTTGAACTAGTTTTATACATTGTGAGGTAATTAAGAGATAAATATTTGTCAATTATTATACATGTACTTAACAGCTACCATTAGCCGATTAGGTATTTCAAAATTATTAAAAAAAAAAAAACGATGTACAAGAGATCACGGGCTGATATAGAAAAGTTTGACTCCTCAGCATTCAAGATATTGACCCTTAATTGGCTCGTCACTCATGGTTAGAGTCCTGTTATAGAGGGCTAAAAGGCCACTAACTATTATACCGTTTCTTTTGGATTGAGTGATGAATTCAGAAAACCAGGATCAAAATATTAAAGGACTGCAAAGATAGGTCAATAGATAGAAGCCGTCTTTGGGCCTATGCTCAAGGATGAAGCTGGTTAGAATGTTAGATTCACAAAGAAGAATGTAGTGATCAAAGACGCTCATAATTGCACTGCCATCATGTCGTTAAGTTGGAAGTGCATAACAGACCAAGGCATGATGGCTGGATAGGTCTACTCTTTCAGAATGCAGCTCAGTTGTTGCTGTCACATGTATATGTACTTAAACACCTGTAATTTGTTCTACTCTTTAGTATATATGAACTACATATGGCAGTATAAAACTAGATAAGCTATAACAGAGATGTCAGACAACAATACCTAGGACGTTGATTTTAGGTTCCCAGATTCTTAATTTTTTATCATACAAATGTAGAACTGCAGATAAACTTTCTATATAGTAATTCATATATATCTACGAGATGTTACATGCATACTCATCTAAACAGGTGTCCCTTGATAGAAAAACCAAAGAAATTCAGCGGCAAAGCATATCCACAAAGTTGTGATCTCCCATTGCTTCAGTAATCTGTTATTTGCCCCTCTTTTTTCTCAAAGTATCGCAGGAGCCATGGATAAAAGGAAATAGCTTCACATAGTAGCGTTCCCATGGCTAGCATTTGGCCACATGATACCATTCCTAGAGCTCTCAAAGCACTTGGCTACAAAGGGACATCGCACATCTTATGTGTCTGCTCCACGAAATCTTGAGCGCCTCTCTCCAAATATACCCCAGAAATTGGTCCCCTTTATTGAGCTAGTCCCTCTTCCACTACCAAGAGTTGAAAAGCTGCCCCAAAATGTTGAAGCAACCTCAGACGTGCCCTTTGATGATGCTGAGTTACTCAAGAAAGCCTATGACGGTCTAAGTGAACCGATGGCTAGGTTTCTGGAAGCTGCTTCTCCAATTGATTGGATCATCTATGACTTCCCAAGCTATTGGCTGCCTCCAATTGCTGATAGACTGGGTGTCCGCAAAGTTTTCCTGTCTTTAATGAATGGCTGGAGCTCAGCAGCTTTTGGTCCATCGTCAAGTATGGTAAAAAATGGCACTGGAACATGGAGTAACCCTCAAAGCCTGACTAGTCCACTCAAGTGGATTCCATTCAACAACAAAGTTGTCTACCGGTTTCACAAAGCAAAGAAGAGCATCAGTGCCACACAAAAAAAATGCTTCTGGTGTTTCAGATATGTTCCGCAGTGGATCTTCAGTGCATGACTGTGATGTCTTTGCTATACGTAGCTGCAGAGAGCTTGAAAATGAATATTTGCAACTTCTAGAAAAGCTTCACAGAAAGCCAGTGATTCCTGTAGGCTTATTTCCAATCTCAGAGGAAGAGGGTAAAAGGGAAAATGATGATACCTGGCAATCAATAAAGGGTTGGCTGAACTCACACACAAATGATTCAGTGGTTTATGTAGCCCTAGGCAGCGAGTTTTCTCCCAGTCAAAACGAAATCATCGAGTTGGCACTTGGATTGGAGC